TCATGTGGGGTCTTGTGAGTGAATGATCGGACTCTCATGGACGGTCTATGGAGGGAATGATCGGACTCTCATGGACGGTTTATGGATGGAATGATCGGACTCTCATGGACGGTCTATGGAGGGAATGATCTGACTCTCATGGATGGTCTGTGGATGGAATGATCGGACTCTCATGGATGGTCTATGGAGGGAATGATCGGACTCTCATGGAGGGTCTATGGAGGGAATGATCGGACTCTCATGGAGGGTCTATGGAGGGAATGATCGGACTCTCATGGAGGAGGTCCTCTGATGGTATAATCCCCCCGTGTGATTTCTCCTACAGATCAGTATAACATCAGTAACGCACGCGGCCGGGTCGGAACGTTCTGTATCTTTAAGTCGATGTATAAGATCGGAGAAGACGTCATCGGCACCTTCAACTTTTCCGATGGAGAGATTCCCTGCTTGCAGGTCAGTGTTGGGGTCTTGTCAGACGGTCCCTCACATGTGTTCTGATGGCGTGCTTGCTGCGTGTTTCTGGGTGTCCCTCCTCACATTGGACTTTATACTCGGCTCTGTTGGTTGGAATGTGACTCATGTCCCTCAATATCAACCAGAAAAGCATGGATTCTCCCCGGATCATCATATGATGATGTATTTGTTAGTAGCTCTTTATATTTCTCCATCATCCATTGTGGGACACCGGATTGTTAATGTGGACCAGGGGTTACGCTGCCACCTACAGGAGACTTGGATACTAGGCACATAAAAAGTCTAGGCCGGTCCCAGAGATTGTCATCCCCCCCACACACACAGACAATGAGGACTTTAGCTGGGTGTCCTTAGGACGACTTCTTCATCTCTCCTGTAATAAAGTATCTCTGAGACTCTTCAATGAACACATGGATATGGAATCCTGATATGAAGACTATGTAGTCCTCCTGAAAGCCTCTGCAGGGAACGGCTGGATTTTGCTGGTTTTGTCATGTCAGCAATCCCCTGCAGGATCGGCTTATATGCCGTACCACAGAGCAGTCAGTCCTCTGAAATGGCCCACTTGTGTGTTAAGCCTGTGCCCCTCCGGAGACCGGGCGCCTGTGCCCCTCCGGAGACCGGGCGCCTGTGCCCCTCCGGAGACCGGCCGCCTGTGCCCCTCCGGAGACCGGGCGCCTGTGCCCCTCCGGAGACCGGCCGCCTGTGCCCCTGTGGTATGGTTATTGGGGCTCGTTATGCCACGTTCTCTGTTATTCGGAGGTTATACTTCACGTGCGTTGTAACGAAGACTCCACGCATTCTCCGATACGACTTTTATGGTTGTCTTGTGCTACAACAAGAGATTGCTTGAAAAACAGGCCAACCAGCGCCCAACGCCATGGCTGGAACTACTCCTGCGGGACCGGCCAAACATCCACCTGGTAAAACTTTATAAGTAAAGGCCCAAGACACGCCCACTTCCCACATGGAAATGGAGTCTAGGGAACTCTGCCGGGCCATCCGTTAAAACAGACCGAGAATCAGGTTTCCTTAAAGGAGAAATACGAGGTCGGGGCTTTCCCCCATAGTCCTCCTAAGGGTCACGGGAGGACACAAACTAGCGTCCTCCCGTCACCCTAAGCTCAGTATATAGGGAGCTACAGCTCGCGGTATACCGAGACGCCGGATCGGATCCCGACATGGACGTCGAGATCCGCCCAGCTGCGTGAGTGACAGCTGGCTCCGCCTATCTAGAGGCAGAGCCAGCTGTACCCGCCCCCTCCCCGTCCGTTCCGCCAGTCAGCGCTGGCAGATCGGAGCGGTGAGAGGGGAATCCAGCCCCTCCCCCTGTCAGGGCAGAGAGCCGTGACAGGATCGAGAGGTGAGCGAACGCCGGTTATGTGTTCGCTCACCTCCCGATCTACTGAGCCGACCTGTGACAGTCTCATTGTCACACGTCCCCCTGAACTATGAGGTGAGTGACAAGCCCCTCCCCCTCATAGTTCTCCTTTAAATCAAGCTGTTGTGTCCACAAACCCCAATGGCTCCGACAACAGCCAACCATGGAGGGAAATCCGACGCAGAGCACAAAGGAGGCAACGCTACAACTTTATTAAGGTGAACATAAACCCGGCTTAGGCAACAATGAAGATCTAGGCCTCAAAATACAAAAAGCACTCCTTACAGGATAAAGCTGCCACTTCTAGCCGATGTGAGCGCCGCAAGCAAGGCCACGGTGTGAAAAAGGGAAGATAATGAGATCTCCCCTTATTGGCTCATGGGGAGGCCGCATAGGAACTGACAAAACCAGAACCCCATCCCATTGCTGAAGCGAGGATGGACACAGAGGAAGCTACATGGGTGACCGAGAAATGCTCCCCACCAGCCGGAACGTGACGTACCCCTCAGGTGAGGACGGGTGCGACCTATCTGGGCTCCGCGACACTCTGGTGACTTACAAAAGCCTTCGCTGTGGGGTTGCGCAACTTAATATGAATCAGATGACTAGTCAGGAGAACCGTCCAATGGGAGGAGGAACCGGCAAATCACCCGTAGATCCAAGATGTTCATTGAGACCCAGAATTCCACCCAGTCCAGAAGGCTGGCATCCGTCATGGCCACCTTACACCTAAGAGAAAGAAAGTGTCTGTCCACTGTCAACGTAAGGTAGAGCAGCCACCACAGTCCTGGTCCGAGGACTCACCGACTCTCCCTGTCCAAGGATATGGAGGACGTTTCCGGCACCGAGAGGGGGTTTTTGGTCTCAAATGGGTGAATGGAACTGCCTAGAAGAAGGAGAGCGTCAGCCTCCGAAATCTCCGGAGAGCAGGCAATGTCAGAACAGAGCTGCTGACTCCGAGACTGGAGGTTTGAAAGCAGCAAAAGCCGGCCAAGATGAATCCCAAGTGATGTACAGGAACCATAGATATGTGAAGGTTCAGAACTCAGCCAAACTCCTCCAGTGTTCTAGACCCATTGGTGTCCACGTCCAACCACCATAATTTGTATAGAAGGTCATCTATATACCCGATGATAGGGAGAGGACCGAACGAGGAACAATGTGGCTGTGAAGATAAATATCTCCAAAAGACAATGGAGGCAAAGAAGGTTCCTTGATGGACACAGCCTGTCCTTCATAGCAGAATCCAATCTGAATTCGTGGACTGGCAAGGGCACTTGGGGTTTTGAGGTTCAAGATAGTCCATTGCCCCACTAGAGTCCAGAAAATGTGAAGAGGCTGGACATGAAACCCCTGAAATGTCTCCAGAGGAAGGACCTCGCTCAGAGGAAATACTGAAAGATTTAAAGCAAGCAAACCGAGAGGGAAGGCAACAAAGCTCGATTGTGTAGCCCTGGAAAAACCACAACTTGTACCCAACCATTCAACACGATCCTTCCGCGAATAAACCCGCGCAGGGGCCCTCGCCGGCGTCCATACACTCGCTAAGAGGACACTGCTCCGCGACACACATCAATCTCCCCCGGCCAGCGCGTGGACCATTCGCGGGCGGAGATCTCTGCGCACAGCGGCCGCGTCTCCACATCCACAGGAAGATATCCACTCCAATGGTTTACCCCCCAGTGCTGATTAATCCCGCCCACGCTCCATAGAGCCCCGCCCAGCAATCCTGGCACTGAGAGACCCCCCCCGAGTCACCTCCCCCC